AAGATGTTCCTTAATTTCTTCTTCCGTTTTAGAATATCCTAAAATGTTGCAGTACTGAAAATACGAATTATTCTGTTCGAAATTGTTTCTGGATAAAGTTAGAATAGATAAAGTGAAAATCATTTCAATTTTGCTTCTTCATATATAATCCTACTATCTAATTATAATGGTGCTTCCAACTAGGATTCTTTTAAATTGCCGCAAAATTATCTTTTATAAAATATTAAACATTAGTAAATGTTCAAAAGGAATCCATAAATATCCCATATCTCATTTCATTGCATTTTTTATTAGATTATCGATGTCTTTTTTTCCACCAGACCATCCAAATTTACTAATTCGTATATGATATTAAATATTCCCAATGAATTCAATTTAAAAATTCTCCGCAGTATTTCAATGTATATTATGCTTGTATTAAGAGGTGCTACATTATTTTTTGTATGTAAGTCGATTCTATATTAAGAATAATTTCTATATTTATATATAAAATATGATATTTTTATTATAAGCATCGATTATTTGTTTATTGTTGCCTGTACATGTATAAAAATGAATTGTATAAGCAGCCAAATAACTTATTAAAATTAAATCATGAGTATTTTTTGTACAGCCAGCCTCTCTAAATGCTAATATGGTCTCAAATTCTTGAGTAAATATATCTCTATAAATACAATTTTTCTTATTGTTCTATAATGCACGGCGTCAAAAGTTGGTCCGAGCAAGTTGCATTTAGAGAGGTCTGACTGTATGTATAATTAAAGAGAAAGAGAGAAAAATGACAAAATATATAATATCTCTGAACATAAATTAATATTTAGAAAAAATATTTCATAAATAAATTTCATCATTTCATTTATTAAATTAAAATTGAATATTATCAGAAATTAAAAGATTACTTTTAAGCAAATGTTCTTATAAGAGAAAATGTAATGGTATAATGAGTTATTGAAATTGCAAAATAATTTAAATAATTTTCAGAAAATTTATAGTTAATTCATACTTACTTAGTTCTAATATCAAATAAATACTCAAGAAATAACAAATAACACTATTCAAAATGAAACATTTAATCAAAAAATTAAAAATTTACAATCTTTTTTTGTAATTGACGTCATATCACGTGTTGCTACGCCATGGACTACTACGAATGAACAGCAAACACCTGAATCCGAATGTCACTCCAAACGTAGCCACTACTTCTTGAAAATAACACAACATGAAGTTTAAATCCTGTACATTATACGTATGTCATCATAGTGATATTGCATAAAATTCGGTAATACAAATTTTAATTGTCGTTCCCTGTATAGTTAGTATTTTGTGATCTCAAATGCGGGCATTTCATACAACAAGATTTATCTAAAACTCGCTCCGTATTATTTTCGCCTAGAATACGTGTGTTTTGTATGCATGTGCATTAATAGCTTATGCTTGTGTGAATAATCAAAATAGAAATGAAGCATTCTTTGTTTCTTGTTAGAATAAATGGTGCAACATAGAGAAAACGTAATAAAAGTACATGTATTATGCAATTATATGTGCTCCTTCTCTTTAAGAGAAGTACATACATGTAAGACAGAAATACATGTATATTTATATACATGTAATTTGTTTCTTTCTTTTAAATAGAGAAACTTTAAACTTATTAATAAATAAGACAAAAATTCTCGAAAGTACATTCTTCAAGGCATATCCCAAAAATGAATTTCAAATATATAAATCGTTTTCTCGTATATTTCGCTGCCATCCTGTTTTTATACATGGCTGCTGCAACACCGATTCCTAAGTTAAAAAGAAATGAAGCCGAAGACAATGCTAAAGATTCACCTGGCGTTTTTGGTGGCAATATCGTTCAAGCACCTATAGAAGTACCCGTTAATCTCTGCGGAGATACTATTACTGTTGTTGGTGCATTGAATCCTACTCATGGTAATCTGTGTGTAAACGAGTAATAGTTTAATCGAGACATTAAAGTATGGTATTCAATATCATAACAATATCATGATTTCTACATTTATTATATTATATAGTTAATAGTTTGAAAGTTTGTATTAAACTTTCTTGTAATTTTTGACAGTGTAAAAGAATTTTTCTTAGAAACTATGAATTGTTTTTATATTTAAATTGTCAAGTTTGAACATATTAAATTTATGCAATGTAACAAAGTAGTCAATTAGAGAAGTTTAGAAAATCAACAAAAATAA